TAAAGGAGACTCCTAACTGGTGCTCCCCAGTCTCTTTGCCCCTTTCTGTGTGGAGATCCCATGAATTCTGCCCCTCAAACTTTTGTTCCCACCGATGTAGTGGAAAGTTTCTTTTATTACATACTGTTTAAGCCATACTTTACTAATTTTCTTGTTTTCTTTTTTCTAACCGATCAAAGAACTGCTACTCTTGAGTTTCAGATAATAAGTATTGTTGTATGATGAGTTGATCTAATTCCAGTTAAAAGTAAAGATAAATGGCCTTTGAGCTGGCATGTCCAGCCTTGTCTCGATAGATGTGTGATTTTCATTCAGTTTTTGAAATACTGAAGAGTGGGCAGTTCCTCCCTCACCAAGCTTGTCAGGAATCCCCACCCTAAGGCGAGAGCCTGAAAGAGTGGGAAGGAGCCCTCTGGGACCCAGCCAGACGTCAGGGAGGGCTAAGGGCCAGGGTGGAGTGTGGCCCTGCGGCTGCTGGCAGTGATGCCAGACTTCCTTATGGTGCATGTAGGTGGCCACGTGATGTCCAAATTCGGTCTCCTCGGTTACAAATGACTCTCACTTTGTTAGCTGGCCTGAGGGTGGTTTCAGGCAAGATGGCGGTTTCAGGCAAGATGGCAACTCCTTTCTCCTTTTTCCCTTTTGTGCATTCACACTATGCCTCATCAGGAATTCTTTCTGCTATAGGAGGAGAACCGGCCAGTAGGTGGGTTTTCTCTTCGTGGTTCACTCGTGTCTGCTCTGGAGGATAATGGCGTTCCCACTGGTAAGGCACAAGTCCGTGCAGGCCTGTAGGCCCTGGGATGCTCCTGGCTCCGCTCAGTGGCGCTCTCCTGATGGACTGAGCGACAGGGGCTGAGTAGGTCTCAGGAAGACGATGAATAGTGTGAGTTTTAGAGCCAATTTCAGAATGAGGGAAAAGGGCATGTGGGGTCTTTTCAGTGTCTTAACAACACAACTACATAATCCTTCTCTGGTATTCTTTGCCCTCAGTTTCTGTGCTTACTGGCAGATAAGCTTCCACCTAAGAATGGTAGCCTACCCAGTGTTTAAGGGTCAGCAACACGCTTTAATATCAGTTAGCATACTAACTTCACAATAGCCTGCTAAGAAAGACAGTATTATTCCCATTTTATGGATGTGGACATTGAGGTTCAAAGAAGCTAAACAAGTTTAAGTCCCAAATCTGTGCCTACTTTTAAAATAAACATCCTGGATTCTTGGATGTGAATGGAACTGTAGATTGTAGGTAGCAGGTCAAGAGGGTGCACGGGAGGGATGGGGAGTAGAAAGGAGGGAAAAAGGAAAGCGGGCATCTGGTGGGATTCCCTAACTCCGTACATTGGTATTTAGTAAATACTTCATTATGTGTATTTTTTTTTTTTTGTGGCTCAGTTGACTTCTAGCTGAAAGCAGACATAGATACTCACTCACTCATTTTTCTTCTGCCTAGGGGTTAAAGGAAATGTCCAGGGGAATCTCTTCAAAGTGATTACCAAGGATGACACGCATTATTATATCCAGGCCAGCAGTAAGGCTGAGCGAGCTGAGTGGATTGAAGCTATCAAAAAGCTAACGTGACAATGTGTTCCCGAAGAACAGGACAGGATTCCTCCCTCCAATCAGATGGTACAGGCAAGATTTCTTGGAGTAGGGGAGAGTGTTAAGACTTTTAGCTTCGTTGTATATTTTGTATGGCCTTGCAGTGAGACTGGAGTTCCTTCGATCGCAATTGGCAGTGGTGCTGTTTCCTTCCCCACCTTCCTGTTAATAGCCTGGAAATGCCAGAACCGCCGTTAGCCCGCAGCATCTTGACTTTCACCCATCCTCATGACTAGCCATTCCTCCCGCACCAAAGCAGGTTTCCCGGTTGTAACACTAACTAGCCATATTGTAATACTAAATTAAACACTAGTCTCATGCTGGCTGTCTCTGAAATGCTGTCCAAAACTAACTCCTTCTCTGGATTTAATAAAAATGTTTCTAGAATTCCTGTATAAAGTTTTATAGTTTTCAAAGGTTCTTCAGGCTTGATGCTGTACCAATTATTATGCAAGATTATGAAAACATCTCAAGTGATCTTTGTCTCTAAGACCTGCTTCATCTTAAAATCAGACTTTTGAACGCTGTTTTGAAGAATAAGCCTGCCTAAGCATATACAGTGCAGAAATCATGGACTCAGTTGGAGAGATTAGTCACACATGCAACAAAGAGTAAAATTATATGAAAAATGGCAATTCAGGAAGAGATGCAGAGCAGGAGCTGCTTAAGGACAGAGAAAGACGTAAACGGGAAAAGAATTAAGGAACGAAATTTTGGTTTACATTAACTGAGACATACAGGTACCAAGAAGCTTCACCAGTTGGGAGGTTAATCTGAAATAGTGAAAAGTCTGTATCATACAATATCTTTAAAAACATTTTTATTACTTTAAAGTTTATACAGTAATCTGGCACAAGCTACTGCCAGCATTCTTGCCAAGTACAAGTGCTTAGACTTTCTTTAATGAATAGATATGTAACTTATATTTAAGGGGAGTAGATACTTCCAAAGTGCTTAAGGAAAAAAATTTTCCTTTTAGATAGAGTGAACTGTCTCCTCTTAATCTTGTCTAGAATACCTGACCCGAGTATCAGGAATTCCAAGCTAATGAGTTTTTATTTTATTCCTTACATTGTAAGAGACTACCTTTTAAAGCACCATTTTCCATTTGGCATTTCATCAAAGTCTAATGTCCCTGGAATTCGTTTTTTTTTTTTTTTTTATTGCTCTCTGAATATCAACAGGTGTTTATCTAAATTAAACTGCATTTGATTTGATGGCTTGACTCCAAATTGGCACAACTGCACCCTGTTTTGTATAGGAGTATCAGAATCTTCGTGTGTTGAAAAAGTAGATGGCCATTACCTTGAGGCAACTCTTGCCGAAGTACTAGTACTTGAATTTTTAAAAATCCCGAACCATTTTAAAGGTTCTTCACACAAAAGTAGCTGCGTCAAGAGTGTTTGAAAGGATGGCAGCTGAGTAGTAACTGTAATGCCTACCTAGCATGTCTCTATAGGTTCTCACTAAATGAGCCTTATCCAGGTACATACTGGTTATCTTGTTTTGCTACAAAACACAGCAAAAGAAAATGTTCGTATGCTCCCATTTTTTTTCAGCTACTTTTGACTTTCCATTACTATTAAGTGTGACCCAAACTGTTGTGGATTTTCAGGTGTATGAGTTGATAGCCACTTTAATTCACAGGCAGAATGGGGAGATGAACTTGTCAATTTTTAATGAAAAGTCTTTGAATGGTAATGCAAGATTTGGATAAACTGGTAAATTGTCTTTATCTGTTCCTCAGGTTATTTGGAGCTGGGTGTGTAGCTTGTCCTCATATTTGAAAGTGATATTGTTAGGTCAGCAGGTATGTGTGCTTTAAGTTTGATTAGTTCTCTCCTTCATTGGTGTCAGTGAGATATTAATCTTTTCTCTGGGAAAGGTCATAAATTTTGCAAAACTGTTGTGGAACTGAGCAAAAGGCTTGGATGGGATAAAAATCACTCACTGTGGAGGTCACCAGTATTTATCAAGGGTTATGCCTTAAAGTGTAAAAAATTCAGTAAACAACATGGAAATTTAATTCCTTGCCTACAACAAACATTTAAGGAGCACCTGTTGTTATTTTGAGGACATTCTTGATGCCACAAGCATTATAGACTTGTTTTAACTCCTCAAAAAGACCAAAGTGAAAATCATGTGCCAATTTTGAGTACACCTAGATCCTCCTCTAAATATTCCCAGTATGGCATGTACTAGCAATTATGGCTACCTTGTGGCAACAGCCATATGAAGTTTTACTTTTGGATTTAAAAAGCTAAGTAGAGGCTGCTAAATTAAACAGGGACAAGCCAAAAATGGCATAAACTGTCTCACCAACACACTTCTATTTTCCAGTCCCTTTAATATTTAATTAAGTCTAGTACTCAATCAATTAAGGTGGGTTAGGTTTAATCTTTTAAGTATTTAAATAGGTATTCTTAGGAATAATCAATAAAATAAATCTAGTACCTCAAGTTTCCTAAGAGATTCAATCTATAAAACATACCCAAAGTAACTCAAGACTTTCTACACCCTGGCTAATGTAGCTGTAACTTCAAACCATGTGTTATCTATGAAAATTATTTACCTTATTTATTTACCTTTAGATTCATATACCTTTTAAACAATTAGCTCTTAAACATAAAAATGATGGAAATGTAGAAAAATCACTCTAATTGTGTTTAATCAGATCCCTATTCATTATAAAGAGCTGAAGCTCTAGGTGGCCACCTAGTGAATATGTTAATGGAAAAGAAATCAAAAGTTGGGCAATGATACTCAAAATGACTAAAGAAGCAGCATCTTTAAAAATAAAACAGAACAAAAAATTTTACCACCCTGAATTACAAGCTCAGGGCAAGCAGCTTAGTAGACCAACAAGGACCAGTGTGATAAAATTCTCCCTCATACCATATATTGTCCCCAGTCTCAAGTTGGTAAAAGGCACACATCCTATGTAATTTTAAAATTTGCATTTTAAGGCTTTTTTCCCCTAAGAGTCAACTTTAACTGTGGTTAAAATTATTTTCTCTACACCCTCCTTTTGAAAGGATCCGCTATATAGATCCTTTGGTCACCTGCCCTTATATTTCTCATCTAGACTAAAATGAAAGTAATAGAATTAGGGTCTTCGTAATCATAATGCTTTTTAACTGGTGACAAGAAGGAAGAAGCCTATAGTTAAATATCCCAGAAATTTATTTAATTTTTGCTTGATACATTTTATGTAGAAAGGTTGAGGCTATTTGCTTTGGGTGCCCCTGATAAACCTCAAGGAGGCACTGAACTACAAAGGGGTGCCAATCTGGAGACATCAGAAATGGAAACCACAAGCCCAATTTTATGACTGTTAAAGATTTGTCTCTAGTGAAGTTAGGCCCACTCGCTTAAACTGCTGAATGTTGGAGCTCCTGTGTGAAAACAGCTGACTTTAAGGAGGGCATGTCATGTTTTGGTCTGTTGGAACATTTAAATACTTGGAAATAAAAAATATTCAGCTTTGAAGTTTTCAATACTGGAAAACTTTCAAGTCTAGGGTTTACAGCCAGGAAGGGCTGCTTTGTGTTCCTTAAAATGGACTGTTTCCCACAAAGTTAATCTTCGGCTTTGGCTTCCATTTCTTCTGCATCATCGTCTCCATCCACTTCTGCGTTCTCTCTTTCAAGCCTCTCAAGCTGCCTTGCAAGTTCGGTCTCATCCGTATCTGTGACCACTTTAGGCTGTGGAAACAGAGGTATAATTTCAAAGTGAGGCAGTTCAACAGTATACAAATTCCATTTCAACACTATTACTGCCTAGTATTTTAATAACTTTTTTTTTAATTTAAAGATTTTATTTATCTATTTGACAGAGATCACAAGAAGGCAGAGAGGCTGGCAGAGAGAAGGGGAGGAAGCAGGCTCCCTGCTGAGCAGAGAGCCTGATACGGGGCTCGGTCCCATTTAATAACTCTTAAAGAAACACTTGTCCTTCTAATAACTCCACCGTATCTGTTCATTTCTGAGTGCTACTGTATCAATAAATTCCATTAGATAAGTAATGGGAGAAATGTGTAAGAGTAACATAATATAGGAAAAAAAAATACATGTGTAGTAAAACAGTATATTTTTGTTATTTCTATAAACCAAAACTCAAAAAATATGAAAATAATCTCAGTGGCTCTATCTTTCAAACCCAGCATCTTCTGGATTCAAAATAAATTATTATTTCTTTCCAAATAGGTTTCATTTTTGTTGAGATGAGGAAAATACAGACTAATGTTTCTAATCCTGAGATCAAATTTCAAGCCTGCCAATTCAATTCTGACAGTAACTGATCACTCATTTTTGTTAGCCATTTTTTTCTCTTTGGCAGGGGGATAAACCTAACACCATCAGTGCCGTTAGTCCTGAAAAACCACTGCATGACAGTTCTCATTGACTTATAAAAAGCCCTTTTAGGACCCTCTGAGTTAATGATTATTTTAGGCTTAGAATTATAATCTTAGACGTATCTTATATTTTGAAAGGCAGTGATTAAAGTATTTTAGAATGCAAATCTAAAGAGGATTTAAATTTATCTATCCAAAATTATCTATCTATCTAAAGTAATCTCTAACCCCAACATGGGGTTTGAACTCACAACCCTGAGATCAAGAGTTGCATGTCCTACCGACACAGCCAGGCAGGTGCCCCTAAATTTCTTCAAATATTTTAAGGAAAAGGCAGACACACTATAGATCTTACCTCCATTTGAACATTGAAGACACCCCTCTTTTCCTCAATCTTTTCTTTAATAACAGCCATAGCTTGATTGAGAACAGAGAGGCCTTCTGTTCTCTCCAGAGTTGTTGTAGTCATCACATATCGAGGAGGAGCTATTAGATTAATCTAAGGAAGACAAAAATTTAATTATGGACATACCGACACAACACAAAACTATTACGATGTTTACGAACTCTTTTGTGCTCTGCTGCCTTAACAAATCACCCCAAAACTTAATTTCCAATCCTGTAAGTCAGCAATTTGGGGGTGGTCTGTTAAGGTAGCAAAAGCTAATTGATACAGTGATGAAATCCGGTATCAACAGTCCACGGCAATGTCAAATACGTAGAATTATGACTTCCAGGTGTCTTTGGTAGCTAAAATAACTGTAGCCATCATCAGCATAATGGATAATTTGCTTCTAAAACAGACAAAAATTCTTATTTGGTTCTAAACTAAACTGATGGAACAAAATCCAAGAGATTCTGAATAACAACCATCTGGTTAATGATACAACTTAAAAGATTCAGATCAAACTCCTAAAAGATGTGTGTGAATACGAGAGAATATGTTACCCTTTTCAAGGTCCTAGGAACGTGATGGACATAGGAACTCTTTAAGTTTAGCACAGCTGGCCCTCTGGCACCAAACACCAATCAAAATCTTTAGCTACTGTGACATCAGCAGTAGCATCCCTTAGACAACATCACCGAGAACCATTTTTTGTTAACACTTGTTATGAAATATGATCATAAAAAGAATCTGATTTGGTTTAGGCTGGTAGCAGGGAGAGAGAAAATGGACTACTCACCTTGATGGGCATGGTTTCTGTAGAACAATTCAAACCTGCTCTCAAGGCTTCCTTTACGGCATCAATGCCTTCATAACCATAACAAGCCACTTCAATATCTGAAATTACAGAAATTCAAAAACTTATACCAAAAGGGCTTAAAAGAAATCCGAGATGTGGCAGACACACTGGTATTCAAATAATTATCTAAGTTTTTATCATCCTTTCACAATTAGAAATTTACCCCAAATATTAACTTTCTTAACTATAAATTAGCTGAGTATGCAGTGAAATTCTATCTTCTCTTCCACATTGAGCCCCTGAAGGACGAAATTACAAAAAAATAGAAATCTAATAAACATTTTGATTTCTGGCTATGTCTGGGTTAAAATTATGATTCTAACCTCTCCGTGACTCACTTCCTTATCACTGCAAATTGTTTAGAACAGTTTAGAAATTGCACACCACTCTGGCCCAGTGGTTCCACTTTTAGGAGCCTGCCTAATAGAACACTTACACAGATAGGTAAGTGTCTATGTTGTAAGTCTGCTAATTTGTAGTGTTTTTTTTTGTTTTTGTTTTTTTTTTAATAGTGAAAAAAATAGTAGAACCTAAATGTTCACCAAGAAAGGACTGGTTTATTGCTTTATGAATATTACACCTTGTCATTAAAAAGATTGAGAAAAAGTCCCATGTTCTGTATGGAAGGACCACCATGATAAACTCAGTAGAAAAAGCTAGCTGAGGAAAATTTTGCATAGTATGATGTAATCATTGTAAAAGCAAAAAAATTATGTCTGAATGTAAACAGCATATATTCCTATACAGTATATGTGCCTAAGAAAAATGTCTGAAGAATATACCCAAAGCTGTATTAACGGTGGTTAATCCAGAGGCACAAAAGGACAATACTGTACTTTGCCATCTCCTTAAAAAAAAAAAAAGGGCTGGGGTGCCTGGGTGGCTCAGTCAGTTAAGAGTCTACCTTCAGCTCAGGTCATGATCTCAAGGTCCTGGGATTGAGCCCTGTGTTAGGCTCTCTGCTCAGCGGAGAGTCTCCTTCTCCCTCTCCCTCCCTCTCAAATAAATAAATAAATAAAATCTTTAAAAAAAAAAAAAAAAAAAAAAGGACTAACTTAAAGTTAGCTAAATGCATACATGACAGTTTTCACTTGTGTCAACATATACATTTATTTTATGATGGTTCAGAAGAAGCAAAAAAAAATTCTTAAACTTTTCTTCTTCTTTTTTTTTTTAAAGATTTTATTTATTTATTTGCCAGAGAGAGATCACAAGTAGATGGAGAGGCAGGCAGAGAGAGAGAGAGGGGGGGGGGGGGAAGCAGGCTCCCTGCTGGCAAAGAGCCCAATGCAGGACTCGATCCCAGGACCCTGAGGTCATGACCTGAGCCAAAGGCAGCAGCTTAACCCACTGAGCCACCCAGGCGCCCCTAAACTTTTCTTCTTTTAAGAAATAGAAACACTTGCAGATGCTAATGCAACAACATATTCATATTATTTAACAGCTTTTTGGTTCATGCAAAATATTTTAAACATCATTTAAAAAAAAATCACTTGCCTGCTCGAATTTTGACAGCTTGTGGTGTCAAACGCCTATTAATATTGTTAATAAGTACTCCCCGTTCATCTTCATTCAGATCTAAACTATCCAAAATAGATGGGTCTCTAATTAAAGCAAAAAAAACCACACAAAGACACAAAAACACAAAAGGCCAAGGTTACTTTACAGATAACTGTGACACCAAACACAATACCATTTAATAATGTTTAAAAGCCCAGGCTTTAGGGTCAGAACGGAGTTCAAATCTTAGCTTTACACTTCATTAACTATGTGTTTTGGGGACTTTCCAGACCTCAGTTTCCAAACTATAAAATGAGGATGAAACTATACATTTCACTGGTTGTGGTACTAAATGAGAATGCAGGCAAAGCACTTGGCACTACTATGACAAAAAGAAAACACCCAGCCAGTACCTGAAGAAAAATTTTGGAGATCTAGCTAAAGCAAGGAATTAAAAAATGTCTAATATACCGGACATCCCACTATAATTAAACATTTCCATGTACTTAGTCCCTGCTTCAAAGAGCTTGAAAAGAACTAAAACATACAAGTAAATTTAAGATAAAAGTACATCCTTGGAAGTCAGGACAGGAAGGTATTACTTTCAGTTAGTGGGCTCAGGAAGGGCTGCTCCGACTGAAGTGGCATTTCATCTGAGTGCCACAAGACCGGGCAGGGTCTCAGTCACCAGCATGCTTGTGGAACATGAACAAATGAAAAAAATCGAAATAATGACCTAAAGAAGCAAAGATAGTATTGTTTTAAGAAATCTGTACAGTATTAAAACAGAAATGGCCTATTGGGCCTAAAAAGCGGGGTTAGGGAATGAAAGAATGAAAGAATTTAGGTGGAGGGAACTTTCACTCAGCTAATACTGCTTACAAAATATAACAAGACAAACCATCAGAAAATGAGCAGAAGAGATGAACAGAAGTTTCACAGAAGAAACAGTAAACCTATGAAAAGCTGTTAACTCCACCAACAACCAGTAAAATGCAAACCAAAAACAAGGTACTCTTCTACACCCATCAGTTTGACAAAAGGGAAATAATCTGAGATAAACACCAAATGTTGGTGAGGATGAAGAGAAACAGGAATGCTTATACAACTACTAGAGGAAATACAAATTGTAGAACCAATCTGGAGAATATTTTGGCAAAACCGAGTAAATTTAAAGATGCATATATTCAATCCTATGACCCAGCAACTCTGCTATTTATATACCTTAGAAACTCCCAAATGTACACGGAGACATGTACATGGATATTCATAACAGCATGGTTGAAAAAAATGGGAAAAAAATGGGTGGGGTGAGGATAACCTATTATCTCTTAATAGGGAAACAAAGCATAGTCCTACAATGAAATACACTACATAGAAATTAGTATGAAGTAGGTACGCATCTATCACTTTGGAGAATCCTGTTCATTAACAGCCTTATAAGTAAAACTGTAAGATACAGAAAGCTACAACGATGGAATAAATTCCTTTTTAAAGTTTAAATAAACGGAGTAATAAAAAAATGATTCTATATATACTTTGTAGGTACATATATGCAATAAATCTGCAGAAATGTAAATAATAATGGTGCATACTAATTGCAGAATAGTAATTACCAATGATAACTAGTTATGATAATAGTTACCAATGATGAGTGAAGGGAATGGGTTGGGAAGGGTAAAACACTGTTTCCAACTATCTCAAAAATTTTAGTTCTTAAAAAAAAATACGAAGGACATGTGGCGAAGAATTATCATTAGTTAATCGTGGACAGTCACTGCATGGCTGATGAAGCAAAAGAATGTTAAGGAAAAGGGAAAAAACGTATGGCACTGCTGAGCGGTAATGGAAGGGGAGATGGAGGTGGAAGTGAGGGAGCTGAGCCCAGGCTGGAGGACGACAGCATGACAAGGGACGGAAGGCATGCAGGGCTGAAGTCACGGAGGACAGAAATATAAAGCAGCGCTTAATGGTTAACAGCATAAACTCCAGATGGGAGCCAGTGTCTAGGTTTGATTGGGGCTTTTCCATTTGCTAATTCTGTGCATGTGGACAAAACATTTAATCTCTGCCTCAATTTCCTCATCTCTAAGACATGGATAATAACTGCACTTATACCATGCGCTGCTTTGGGAAATCTGTAAATGTTTGTTCTTATAATTATTACTAGTTTTACCTTTCTCACAATGTGGTATGAAAAAAAAGTCACATGGTGAGTGGGTGGGGGGAACTGGAAAGGATTTGGACCCCCAAATGAGCCAGCTTGCTGGAGGCTCTATCAGTCCCAGGTCCACCCGGCCATTCTGAGAGCTAAGGGGACCAATATCCTTTGGCAGCACCAAGGCTGGAAGTAACCTCAGTGTAGTGGAGAGGCTGCATGGGGAGCATTAACAGTTGGGAAGGAGTAGGATGCGCAGACGGAGAGACAGTTAAATCCAAAGAACTGAAGGAGTCCAACTATTTTAAAAAGAGAGGACACAGTGCTTCCTAAAAGAAGCAGAGAGAAGGTATACTCTGCTTTTAATGTAAATGGGAGAAACTGGAGCGTATTTTTATGCTGATGGAGCAAAATCAACAAAAAGAAAGGCCGAGGACACCAAAGAGGGAATGAGGAGGGCGTGACGGATAAAACAACCCTGGAGAAGTAGCTGCGCACAGGTGGTAAGATTAGTCTGAGAGCAGTAGCGATATGAAGTCAGCATGGCAGGAGGCAGGAGGTAATGACAGATGGGAGAGAAGGCCGCTGAGACAGTGGAGGGAGTAGAGATTTTGGGCAATGGCTTCTATTTTCTTTATAAAACCGGTAGACAGCGAGGGAAAGGGGAGTGGGTATCTGGTAGAGAGTGTGTAAAAGCTCTAAAACAGCCACTCTAAGAACGGAAGGAAGAACTGACAAAGAGCAGAGAGAACGTGAGGCAGCAGTGAAGGCGCAGCTGAGGTTGGAGACCATGACAAATATGCAGTGGCACCGACCTGCAAGACTCTGGTTTTTCCTAGCAGCACCCCGCATTCTACAAGTGCAGAGAAGGCAGGAACATCGATCCAAGGCTGGATGTAACAGAAGGAAAAACAGGGCAAAAGCTCATGATATTGGCAAGAAAGTTGCTGAAATGATGGACCACGGTATGCCTATGCTGAGTCAGAAAGAGAAGGCAGAAAAGGGTGAAAAAACACGGAGGAAGAAAAAGGTTTGGAATCAGAGTCTGGCATAAGAATTAAGACAGAGCAGGACTAACTATGAGGGAGCTGGAAAGACAGGAAACTGTCTGTGGTAAAAGAACAGAATATATGAATTCAAGGTTTTAGAAGAGCACAAATTCTAAGACCCAGGGTGAGCCCATATGGAAACTGGCTAAAGCGGCATGGGCTGAAGGTCTAAGGAACTGAGGTAAAGAAAACAAGGTACAGTTGTAGATGAACATCTACAGTGATCCTGAAGTTAGCTAGGAAAATAACAAAACCAGGAGGGGAAAACGTGAGACAAAACCATATGGTTCACGAAAACTAAGGTGTACACAATTATATATGCTTGACTATATAGGATTGGCCCACATTACGGGCCTTTTACATGGAAATATTTTTATCTAAATTTGGCAAGGACGTAGTATGTGGGTGTTGTGCTATTATTACATGTCAGGCTCTCAACTTGTGTGCTAGACCCAGCAGCTGTGATCTCAAGGTAGAACCAGAGCAAAGAAGGTGTTCTTACGAGACTGCATGCTTAAATGCATCATAGGCACCGTATCCAGGTCTCTTGTATTTGTCATCAAAGACCCAGGCAGTCCTCTGGAACAGGCTCTCCAGCTGCTCGTCCTTGGTGTACTCTAACACCTCAGCAACATGACGAAGAATGCTGTAAACCTGGAAACAAAATGAAGAGTTCAACAATTCAAAGATAAGAGAGCTTAAAAAAAAAAAAAAGGTATTTTTACATTTCAGTAGACAGTATATAAAACAAATCTTTGGTTACACTATAGTAATTCCTCAACAACAAAGGGTTAACACGCAACAAGTTCTTTTTTCATAGAGAAATATTCGCTTTCCTATAACACTTAAGTGGGTTTAACAAATACAAAAGTAGGACACTAAGTACAAAACTTAGTGTCCTAAGACCTAGATCAAGTTGACTTAGGGACCAATCAACCTCTCTAAATTTGTTTCCTCTTCTGGAAAAGGGAAATACCAGTATCTCTCCTTTTTACTGCAGAGAGATCAAACCTATCCCAATTATAACTGGAAAACATTATGCAAATGAATAAAATTTGTATGTTATACAAAACTTTTGTTATACAAGTATAAGCTATTACTATTACTACTCCACATGAAAGCATGGAACAGGATTGAGATTTAGTACTTTTTTTGCTTTGTTATCATTTAGAAGTTATCCTTCAATGTGCCTATCTCCTACTCACTGCTGCCAAACTCTTTCTTTTCATTTCCTAAAAATGAAAAGGCGTAAGAAAGAGAAAGGGTATAAAGAAAGAGGTTTTCACATTACACATAAAAGTTGAGTGAGAAAAGGAACATTGGCTATTTCATTCCATCACCTTATCATCCTGATAAGATCTACTAACATGCTCATTTTATAATATCTTAAGGGGGCAAAACAAAGTGACAGTTTCCTAGAGCAAAGCTTCTCAAACTTGGTAGGACTTGAGGAGCCTGCATTAAGCAGTCAGGAAATGTCAGTGCTATTGGCTACATTCTGAGTGGCAAGGTCCTCAGTTTATTAATAAGCGATTTCACTGATAGTGTTTTCTTTTCTTTTTTTTTTTTTAAAGATTTTATTTCTTTATTTGACAGAGATCACAAGTAGGCAGAGAGGCAGGCAGAGAGAGAGGGGGAAGCAGGCTCCCTGCTGAGCAGAGAGCCCGACGCGGGGCTCGATCCCAGGGCCCTGGAATCATGACCGGAGCCGAAGGCAGAGGCTTTAACCCACTGAACCACCCAGGCGCCCCCTGATAGTGTTTTCTAATGTGTAAACCACATTGCAGTAGTGGTAAACACATCAGTAAAACAAAGGGAGAAATTTGGGTAATGATCTTTTGCCTTTTAGATTTTTATTCTTTTAACTAGGGTTAATTAAGATTTCAAAAATATTCTCTTCATTTAAACACTATTTTCCTGGCATTTTATCCTGAGGACAGAAACACATGAGAGAGATGAAAAAATAAAGAAAACAGACACAATGGAAACATTGCCATTAAGAACCAAAGATCTAGAGAATGAAGGATAATCTAAATAGAACCAGAGAAGAAAAAACTACAGACAGAATATGAAGAACGAAAAAATAGCTGTTCTTGCTTCATTAATGATTACTGGACAGAAGTAGGAGATTACAGCCAAAATAAGAAAATGAAACAGAAAGAACCCTAATAAACTAGGAGTAAAAAAAAAATAGTAACAGGCCCCCCTGCCTTGCTTTCCTGGATTCACATTTTATAAACCCTTGCTTATTCTTAACATACAACAGCTGGTTGTCCCTGTGACTCTCACCCCAGAATGGGGTTTAAAGTCAAGAACTGCATGTTATGATTAAGTCAAATCAACTGAAATCACCCACAGTTAATTTAACCTAAAATAACTTAAAAACATTATCGTCTGGTATACTCATTTTAGAATATTAGACGATAAGCAATGCCTTAAGGTAGTACTACCATGAGGTTAAAAACACTGAAGTCATAACTCTTTTGAAACTAAGTCTTCAACTTATCCTATATAACTCCTAATTGTAAATGGAATTACAGGTACAGAAAATCCAGTTTTAATTTTCTCCCAAGAATATTACATGTTCGTTATTTATTAAATAGTAGACTAATTCCACACAAAAATTCAACTTACAGTTTTGGATTTGGTGAATTTATCTTCACATTTGATTGCTTCCTCTGGAGAAACTCTTCTTTTTGACAAATCAATATATCCTATACAAGAAAATTTTGGAAAAAAAATCATCTGTGCCCAAGTGCTAGCTTACCATTGTGATACATTTTTGCATCAGATTGGTTGGTTGGCATACCTACACTCATTCCCCACTAAAATCAAATCAATAAAAACTGCATGAGAAGATGAGAGATTTTTGTTTTCAGAAATGCATCTGTATCATCATTGTATATTTTCTATCACTTCAATGAAGGGAACTAACAATTTCAATTACCCAAATGAAAGCTAGTCAAAGGATTCTGTACTTGTCTTTTTGGCATCCATTCATCAAAGGGTCAACTATATTCTATATATTTTCTGTATTCTCCTTCTGATGCTCCTTCTGCCTCCTGATCATAACTGGTGCTTCCTCCTCATGGTGGCCCTGCATGGGCATGGTGTGGCCATGGAATCTACCTCACCATATTGTCTGTCACCTCCATAAATTAAAATCCCAGGGGTACAAAATGAGACAAGCACGTAAATGTATTTTAAAGAATTCAGAAGGGAAAAATGGTCTCTTACATTTCCTTACATATTTCCCAGGTCAGGCATCACACCTCAAGGGCCTGCATAACTTCCTTTACCACTTCTTATAATGCAGATTAAGTAATAAACCCTCTTAGTTTCTATTTACCTGAAAATGTCTTCATTTCTGATTTTCACTGTTGAAGATTATCTTTAAATATTATAGAATTCTGGGCTGAAAATTTTTCTCTTTCAGTGCTTTAAAGATGTCATTCAATGCTCAGGCAGCCATTATTTTCAGTAAGAATACCATACTAAGAGTAATTTGTATTACTCTTCTCCTGTGAATCATGAATCATTTTCCTCTGGCTACTTTCAAGATTTTCTTGATCTCTGTTTCTCAATAATGTGCCTAAATATGGTCTTTTTTTTTTTTTTTTTAAGAGTTTATTTGTGAGAGAGTGAGAGAGCGAGCGAGTGCACATGCACACAAGCAGGCAGAGTGGCAGGCAGAGGCAGAGAGAGAAGCAGGCTCCCTGCTGAGCAAGGAGCCTGATGCAGGCCTTGATCCCAGGACCCCGGGATCATGACCTGAGCTGAAGGCAGCGGCTTAACCGACTGAGCCACCCAGGCGTCCCCTTAGATGTGGTCTTATCAGTATTTATCCTGCTTGAGGTTTGCTAAGCTTCTCCAGTTTGTCAAATATGGGAAACTTTGGTCAGTATTTCCTCAAATATATTTTCTCCTCTTTCTCTCTCTTCTCTTGGAATAGAGCTTTTAATATTTGAAAAGTTGCTTTTTCCCTGCTCTGTTCTTCAGACTCGTTCTTTTAAATTAACTACCTGCAAGCCTGACTTGAGCTTTCTGCCATCTTTAGCCTGCTGTTAGCCCATTTGGTGAGATTTTTTGATATTATACTTTTTAGAATTTATATTTAGTTTTTTCTGAGAGTTTCTAATGTGTCTACTGAGATTTCATTTTGTTCATTCATTACAAGCTTATTTTCCTAATATCCTTGAGCAGTTGCAACATCTGCTTTAAAATCCTTATCTGCTAACTCCAATATTAAGGTCACCTCTAGGTCAATCTCCATTGGTTGCTTTTTCTGTTCCGTATGGGTCATACTTTCCTGTTTCCTCAAATGTTTAGCAATGTTGGACACTGAATGAATATTCACAGAACATGAACATCCTAATAATCAGAGACACAGAATACTGGGTTTTGGGTATGTGTTTGCAGTATATTCCATTTTTCAAAACTTATATAAAGTATTCCTAAAATCCATTTACCTTTGCCCTTTTTCCATGTTCTTCCAATAATCTGATTACAAATTTAGCTTTAAATCAAGAAAAAAGTATCCTTTTTTTTTTTTTTTTTAAAGTAGGGCTCTATACCCAGCATGGAGCCCATGGGGCTTGAACTCACAACCCTGAGAACAAGACCTGAACTGAGATCAAGAGTCAGACTCCTAACCAACTGAGTAACCCAAGCGCCCCTCAATAAAAAAGCATCTTACAAATACAGGAACTAATACTCTGGTTTACTTATCTGTCTCTTTTGAGTTTAGCCATAATGAGTCAACTATCAATATTCTGGTAACCTCTGGGGATAAAAGTCAAGTTACCTGATGCAAACTAGCCCTAGGATGTGCTAATTAAACCACTACATACAAGAGGTCTTGCTTAGATGGGTCACTGGCATCCTTCTCTAACAACTTTGTATGTAAAAAAAAGTTTAAGTATAAAGGGAGATGTTTTTGTTCTGCTTCTATAGCAGTCAGCAATTTACAAAAAAAAAAAAAAGTAAAATAAACCATTTTAAATCTGAAATTTGTATTTTAGATATTTTTATCACTTACCTTTTTCTTTGTCCACTCTAATGACAACCACACATTCATTCCTGCCAATTCTGATCAGTTTGTTTATAGAACGGATACGCCTTCGGGACAACTCACTAAGAAGAATCATGCCTTCAATATTGTTGTATTCCAGCAAGCTGACATAGGCCCCCATTTCAGCAATGGACCTTACATTCACCATCACTACATCTTCCACCTCAGGAAATTTGTGTTGATAAAATCTACAACTTAGACCCGGCATTCTGCATTTTAAACAAAAGAATTAAATGAGTATTCAGTTAAGGTCAAAATAAAGAAATGTCAATCAATTTTCCTATCTTGTCACTGCAAGAAATGATTAGTCTTCTCATCTCTTTAAAGTTCTTAAATGGTACCAGAAAACAGACGGATATTCAGGAATCAAGCTTTTTTACTTTGCTCCACATTTTTTTAAGGCCTGGGTGATTCTCTGACATCAATTTTAGAGGAATCATAAAAAATAATCACCATCTATAAAGTACTTTGAGGCCTAAGGATTAAAGGTACACCTCAAGAGTAAAATACTATTTTAATACAACCACCTTAAGAAATAACAAATGATGGTAAGCATCACTGCTACTATAAACCTATCAGTAAAACTAAAGCTACTCATTCTCCGAGTCGGCTAAGACAATATACTACCACTCACTATATAAAGGGAAGAATCTTCTGACTATATGAACCATAGTCCTAATCATATTATCAAGTAATATACTCTATCATTTTAGCCAAAATTACAGTATCATATGTTAAGACAAAACCTAAAAATTTACTAATCACAAAAAATATTCAATATAACTAAATAAATACTTTTCTTTTATTGAACAGGTATACCCAATCTTGAGAAAACCTTTATGGAACTCCATTACAATAAAGTTCGAGAGTCTCAAACTCCAAGCATTAAGTATAATTAAAGCAATTCCCTTTGATCTACCCAACCTACACTTAGTGCCACTCCTTTTATGTCCCACAAGACTGAAATCATACCATGCACATAAGTATATATATATATTTTTTAAAAATTTTATTCATTTATTTGACAGAGATTACAAGTAGGTGGAGAGGCAGGCAGAGAGAGAGGAGGAAGCAGGCTCCCCTTGGAGCAGAGAGCCCGATGTGGGGCTTGATCCCAGGACCCTGGGATTATGACCTGAGCCAAAGGCAGAGGCTTTAAACCACTGAGCCACCCAGGCGCCCCCACAGAAGTATATTTTTAAAAGAAAGCTATAAAACTAATCATAGCTGATGATTTTCACATTTTCTTACTAACCTTAACTAATTTACTATTGTCAAAGTTCAGAAAATAGGTGGGAACAGGACCTAAAGGCCCATGAAAATGTGTGAAAATTCGTTTACTTTTTTTTGAGAGAGAGAGAGAGAGAGAGAAAGACAGTGAGCAAGTAGGGCAGAAGGAGAATCTTAAGCAGGTTCCACACTTAGCAAGAGCCTGATGTGGGGCTCTAACTCACAATACTGAGATCATGACCTGAGCCAAAAATCAAGAGCTGGGTGCTTAATTAACCGAGTGAGCCACGAAGGTGCCCCAGTTTTTTTCTTATTAATTAATTGGGAATAAGGCTGCCATTACTTGATCTTGAAGACAGAACATCCACGCCCCAGCTCAGAACCCCAGAGTTCTGGGGCAGTGCAGTTGAGAACTGTTAACTGAATCCACAAGTATCTTCACAGTGGCTTCCCACTGATTTTACATCTTTCTACTACCTACATGGTCCTACATGATCTGGCCACTGCCTCTCTCCCTAGTTCTCTCCATTTTATAGTTGAAGAAACAGAAACCCAGGCCACGTAACTTGTTCTGTCACATACCGCTAACAAGTGGTAAGTCAGAATCTGAACCTACGAAGCTTGGATCCATAGTCTGTGTTCTTATTCACCAGCCTGTATTTTCATTCAATATTACCAACAAATATATTAGTAAGAAACATCTTTTTAAAAAAAGTTACATTAATATATTCAGTACTAAAGCAGATACCAGAGATCAATGCAAGCTTTTAATACTAATCTATCCTGTTTAACAAAAAGAAAAAAAGCAGCATATTAATAACAGTGGCAGAAATGCATTTCTGTGTAGCTTGACAAAATAGGGATTTAGCAAATAAAGAGAAGTAGACGTTCAATGGCCAGAATTACCCACCAAGAAACAGCTGAGCTGGTTGTTTTATTCAACAAAGCTTTTTTTTTTTTTTTTTACTTTTCTTCCTTTTGGAAGAAAAGGAATGTATGTAAAGCACTAAAGTCTGAGGGCTAGAAGTTTCAAACTGGGTATCAAAATAAATGGTGTCACAGAAATGTGTGAAAACAGTTTTAAAAGATTTAACATGGGCTAACCATATTCACTTACCAGGTTTATTCAAATAGTAAAGCTGATTAATTCTGGAGAAGCTAGACTTAATTTGGCGATTAAAGAACACAGGCAATAGTGTAAAAGAATCCCAGCAGGAGGTATGAATACTACCGCCTTAAGCGGTACCAATCTCTTTACTTTATACAGGATACAAAAAGAACACAGCCAAAGGTATGTTATTTAATGCAAAAAGTAACCAGTAAGTACACAATAGCTCTAGACATGGATCCCAGCCTTTGCTCTACTTACTAGCTGTGATTGCTTGGGAAATGCATTCCCATTAAACTGTAGTTTCTAGCCTGTGTCATGGACCTCACAGGTTTGTGGAGTGTTATCAAATGAGACATATATGTAAAAATTTGGAAGTGTAATTTGGTATACAAATATGACATTAAAAGGCAAAAAGATACTATTTCCATTTGGTAACTTAATTTGTTAAACAGTAATTTGTGCAGTATCTATGTACTAAGCACTACTGACAGAGAAGAGATAAAGACAGCTAGCAAGTAGGGCAGAGGGAGAATCGAATCTTAAGCAGGCTCCTTTCTTACCTAAGGAAGTTAAGTACAGAGTCGGAAACAAACTAGTAAGTAAATAATAGCAGTATAAAGTATTACGAAAGCAGTATAAAGTACTATGAAAGCAATCGATTAAAAGGGAACCAAAGAACAGAAATATTAACGGTCTTTCTCAAGGATAAATGCTTAATAAGTACTAGGACAGGAACTAAAACCAAGTCTTCTGATATTAAACCCAGAACACCTTTAACCCACAGAGCCTCAGTAGGTCAGAGTACTACAATATTGTATGTATTCTTTGATACAAAATAATCGTCTTTCAAAATATACTCAACTCCAAGCTAATTTCAAATACCCTGCATTGTCAGTAATTTTGCCCAGTCAAATGGTAGACAGAACTCCTTTCTCACACCAGTGCACGGTCAAGTAACCATAATCCAGGAAGTCCACACTCCTCTCCAAAGTTAAGTATGTTATGTGACAGAGACAACTCTTGATAATTCTAACTGGCTCTAATGCTTATCGGTAACGTTCTCTGAACATTAGTTTGTAGTATAGGAGTGCTACGCAAATAAGCTTTTAAACTATTTCACCGTAGTTGAAATAGAAGCACCAATCTCTACAAGTATTACTGTGTTTTTTCAAAATCCTAGGAGAATCATTAACTGTCAACTTGGCATCAGATCGACTCAAAATAGGCAGTAAAGCTCTATATAATTCACGAACTATTGAAAGACACATAATCACAAGTTTTTTTCCCTTGATAACTTCAACTGCGAGATTTCTCTGCTACACCTTTTCTCCAAGAAACAACGTTTCTTGACTAATGATAATTAAAGTAGCCAAGTTTGGGGGATAAAGGGGCTTCAGGCTGAATACCAATTTAACTCCCAAATTCCCTTATCTTTCTCTCAGTGGTGCTGAAATACGGAAAACCGATATTAACTATAGTGAACTCTTCAACAATATGTTTTAGTTTCGATGCAAGGGATGACTCATTCTATAAAGATGAACAAGTCAAGCGATACGGTAATATGAACGAAAATAGAAAAAAATAAATTATCAGACAAACTACTCTTGGATCCTTTTAACCCAGCTCTTGTCAACACTGCGGCCCACCCCAATGGTCCCTTCAAGTGTCTGGTCTGGTCCCACTGAGGGATAGTATTTGGTGGGGTGGATGGGGGGGGGAAGCCATGTAGTGGTGGGATTCTCAGGCCCAGGAAAAGCAAAGTGCTCAGCGTCCTGGGGCGGGGGTGTCACAGCGTTTTCCCGAGGCCGCCCCCATCTCAAAGTGTCCTCACTTAGAGCATAACGGAAAGGCTGTACGGTCACTTGGCCCACTTTGCTTCATCAGATTCCTCCGCTAGTACAATGACACCGCTGTAACACGGAAGACCCACCCGGCAGCGCCGGGTGGTGTTGGACACTTCCCGCGCAGGAACGGGAAAGGGAGGGGTGTTAGCCCAGGGCCTACCCTCTCTCGACCACCCAAGTCACTGGACACAACCAAAGTGAGTTCCTGAAGAAACCGATCTGGGGGACTAGTCACCTGAGGTATGTATCTGAAACCCGCGCCGGGATCCGGTGCCGTGCTCTTTAATCGCAGAGAACAGATAGTCCAGCCACAGCAGCGGCCGATCCTCCTCAGCGTGCGCTTGGTTCTACCCCACCGCGCATGCGGAACCACCTCGCATCACGCAAGCGCCAACAGAAGCGGTCCTTCTTCCTCACTGACCATAGAGTCTAGGTCCTCCGGAAAAAAAAAAAGACCAAAGGAGGACCCGAAAAATACGCTTTCTAGATAGCTATCGTTTTCGTTAAGTAAGTTTCAAGGCGCAGGGAAGAGGTAAACTGACTCCTTGTCCTTGAAGAATTAATCCTCTCTCGAAGCTTCAGCCAACCATGAGGTGGCGCTGTGACCAAAGATGGAAAAGTGAAAGAAGAAAAGGCGTGTACTCTTCTCTCCTGTTCTTTCACCTCGCGCGTGCAAAGTCTTGCGCAGCCTCCTGGGAGCTGGAGGGGGAGGGGCTAGAAGGAGAAGCGGAAGTGAGGGGCGGTTCGCTGAGGGGATCCGAAGCCTTAACATCCGGGCATCGCCTCAGTCTTGTTCTCTCCCACCCTTCCCACGTGCCAACAGGAAGCGGAAGTGAAGAATGGTGTATACGTATCCCAGCCGCCACTTAGCAACGCGAGGAGGTCAGGTGATACAACCAGCTGACTCCCATAGAGGAAGACCCTGTGGCTGAGACTCTTGCAGCCACGGTTGCCCGGCCGGGGATTCGAGCCTTACTATCATCGTCAGAATGTCGGGCAAAGACCGAATTGAAATCTTTCCCTCGCGCATGTAAGTAAAAGAACGGGTCGGGCAGCGTTTATAAGTTCTTGAACGCCTGTCCCAAGCAGCAGTCCCTGTATACCCTGGACCAGCAGCGAGTTTTCTTGTTTGCTGGGCGAATCTTGAGCTCTCCCCCGTTCCTTTCCGTGAGTCTGGGTTGATGCTCTTTAATGGCCCCCACCCATTCCTTTGAGGGAAGCACACTGGACAGAGCGATCCCAATCCGTAGGAACATGCTGCTCGGCCTGCTGGTTTTTACGAAGGTCCGCTGACTTTACTCATTAATTGAGTCTTTCATCCCGTTTTCCCTTATTGAGCTGGGCACTGGGTTTATAGAACTATGAATCATCCCCAGTTTTGCCTAAGAGAGGCCACGTTTTAATGGAGAGATGGACTAACCAGCGAGGTTTGATAAATATTTTGAGAAGGGAAGTTTACTGTGGTGAGAAGCACATAGAAGAGGCTTCTAGGCCAAGTTGGGGGTTGAATCGAATTGCCCGAGTGTGGTCGTAAGATTTGAGCTTGGATGCCCCTTTTCATTTTCCATGATCCCACGAAATGTCACCTGCAGTGGGAAGATATCCCTGAGTTTTCGAGGCACTCCGTTTGCTCCATCACTATTGTGCCTCGTACAGACAGACCTCTGTTAATACCACCCAGACTGTAAAGTGAATATTTGTTTACATAGCTTTCCCACTGAATTATGAGCTGTCTCCAGGAGGAGAGAGTGTCTTGAGAATTAATCCATAGTAGGGCTACAAAAAAGGCATAGCGCCCCAAGTGTTGGGCTAGTTTTTAATATTAAGATTTTATTAATTTATCTGACACAGAGAGCACAAGTAGGGGAAGTGGCAGGGAGAGGGAGAAGCGGGATCCCAGCTGAGCAGGGAGCACTATGCTGGGCTAAATCCCAGGACCCAGGGATCATGACCTGAGCTGAAGGCAGGTGCTTAATGGGTTGAGCCATCCAGTTGCCTCTGTTTGGGCCAGTTTTTAAAGAAGGTTTTATAGTTTTCTCAAATTTGCCTAAGAATGTGTCATAGTTAAGATTGTTATTTGGCCTCTTCTCCTCTTCTACTTCCTCTCCCCACTCCCTCCGCCCCCCCCCCCCCCACTGAGGAGTAGAAAATCAGATTTGACTTTGACATTTAGATCTCTTGATTGTGGTCCTATTTCTTTGGAGGTGTTCTGGTTTTTTTCCTTAATCCTGATTTTTTTCTTGGAAAATCTGAGAATGCCTGAAATAAAAGAATTATTTTCAAATCCAAGACTTAGCTTTCTGTCTCTTTCAGTTTGGCTGTAGCTCTTAATGAAATGAAAGGGTTTGGGGGCTTTTATTTATTTATTTATTTTTGCTTATTTTTTACCTTCACTTATTGATTTTCTGGTAGGTGTTTATATTAAGTGGGAAGCAAGTCAGCTGTGGAGAAAGGCACCGTTTGTAAAATAGATGAGGATCAAGCTACCCTGGGGTAGGGAGATCTGCAGAACTCCCAGAATCGACCCTGATTCTAATAAATGTCTGCATTGAAAGACCACCAAACTAGAATGGCTTAAGGCTGTGTTCTTTGATTGACACCAGCACCCGTGAAAACACCTGTGGAGAAAGCCAGGTGCTTCCAGGAGAATTTGTTCTATCCAATACCTGATGATAGGCTCCTGACCTCCCTTTCTTAGGGTATTCACTAAAAATGGCTCACAATTATGCATCCTTTCTTTTCCTTTTGAAATATTTGTCTCTCTTCTACAACTTAGAAGTGTCACTCTCAAGGATCTGAAAGCCATTTCTTTGAAATGTAGTTATTGGGAAGGATGGATGTTTCCCAGTCTCTGGGAAGATGGAATCCTAACTTCCATGATTGCCAGGTAGCAGACACAGCTGGCCAAGTGTCATTTTCAGTGACCAGCCCTTTTTAATTTTTTACTTCTGTGACTCTTTTTGAGTTCGCTCTTTCTTCTCTCCCTACTGTTCCTTTAAAATGCCCAACCACGGGCACCAGGGTTGCTCATTTGGTTAAGTGTCTGCCTTCCGCTCAGGTCATGATCCCAGGGTCCTGGGATCAAGCCTTCCGTGGGGAATCTCTGTTCAGTGGGCTCTCTCTGCCTGCCACTCTGCCTTCTTGTGCTTGCACACACACACACTCTCTCTCTCCGTCAAATAAATAAAATCTTAAAAAAAAAATAAGTAAAATGCCCAACCACTTCTGCACAAGTCAGAATGGGGCTCAGCTCTTTTTCCTACTGTCCTTGGTTACTGCACAAAATCTGTTTTCACCACCTGAATGTCTGGCTGTGTTTATTTTTAATAGTAGTCAGAATGTTAACATTTTTTTGTTTTTGGTTTGAGACTAAGAAGTGAAAATGGACGTCTTTGGGCTTAGACAAGAAGACTAATAGGTTTGTAAAAGTGAAAATTGCTGTTTGAGAGCACTCAGCTTGCTGATTGAGAGGAAAATAAGGCGCAGGAAGTTAGTGGTTCTGTAAATATTTTCCCCAAGGCTTAGCAGCAGGTATTTTGTCATGTAGTCAGATGTCTTTGATTCAGCCAAAAACAAAGTCATCCTTCTGGCTGAAGGTCGAACATTTTTCCTAATGCTTAGCAACCCTAAAACTTAGAAAGGAGTTGTTTCTTTAAGAGCTAGGTTAGAAAATACTTTAGTGACTTCTGTGTCAGACAGTTCCACCTTACAGTGTTATCCTGTGAGGTGGGGCTGTCTCCCCCTTATGCAGCAGAGAGAACAAAACAAAGTTTAGACTGAAAGCAAAAGAGGCTTGAGGGATTTGCAGTCAACAAGAGTCTGTCAAATCCAGGTTCTATGACGTACTGGCTGTAAGCCTTTGGGTAAATCATTCTTCGGGTCTCAAGATTAAAACTGTGTCTATTTCACAGAGGTGCTATTAGCTAGGAGGAAATTAAAATTAGCTTGGTAAATTTAATTTTATTTATTTATTTTTTAAAGATTTTATCTATTTATTTGACAGAGATTACAAGTAGGCAGAGAGGCAGGCGGCGGGGGGGAAGCAGGCTCCCCGTTGAGCAGGGAGCCAGATATGGGGCTCGATCCCAGGACCCTGGGATCATGAACTGAGCCGAAGGCAGAGGCTTAACCCACTGAGCCACCCAGGTGCCCCGGTAAATTCAATTTTATCAACCAACTCACCTTTTTTGCTATATTGAATCTGCAGTACTGGGATTTGACTTAAATTTGATTCAAGTCTTTGAGCTCCAAATTCTGGTCATTGGTGTCAACAAGATAATATGTTAAATGTACACATTGGGGTGGATAGCTCCAGCTAAGGCTGTAAACTGAACCAGCTTCACTTGGTTAGACCTCCAGTGAGGTCAGTCAGTGCAAATTCAGCTACTGATAGAGTAGTTTTCAAACAGAGAACTGTTCATCTGGTGCTATGTATAATAGGCAGTGTGGCGGGTGGTTGGGATACAGTGGGCCTAGGTTTGAGCCTCAGTTTGAGCGGTGGGCAAGGAACTGGAGTCAGAAATGTATTTCATTTGTCCCCCTCCCCCACCCCAGAGTGGGAGGAAGTGTTTCATTTTTTTAAGCTTCATTTTTAAGATCATGTTTAAGGTTTCTTCCAGCTATAGAATTGTCTCAGTAACCTTTCCATTTTGGTAAAAGATTTCAGTAAAATCTAATAATTTACCCAAAGGTCCATTAATACATGCTATTTTGCAATTGTTTATAACACCAGTCATATGAAATTATATCCCCTTACACAATTCATCTTAAGTATCTACATTATACAATCTATTGTTAAATCTTTTACCTACTTTTTAAAATTATTAAATGTTATCTGGCATATGGCAGCAAGAACAAAATTGTCAATTTCTGCAGTTACTTTCTTGGCTTTGATATTGGGGTTTCTGTTGGGAAAGACTGGAATAAGAGATAAGACTTCTGTAGTTTGTCACTTTTCAGAAATGGGTGTCATTGGTTCCTTGAGTCATTTGCAAAGTAGTAAAATTATTGGTGGTAGGATTTTGATGAGATGAAAACACTTTAATGCCACACTTTTAATAGAAAAAGTAATTATTCATTGTGGTATATGTTATAAGAGGTCCTTAAGAATATAAATATAGTGGAAAGTAAATCCATTTTTTCCATTTAGTCCCATTTCCCAAAGGAAACTTTTACCAGTTTCTGTGAATCTTTTCTAAAAGTAATCTCTGTGTCAATATAAGCATATTTATCCCTTACTTTGCATGTGTAAAAGAATATAATATAGTTTATATTCTTTTTTAATCTTTTTCTAATGACTGTTTATCATTCCATTTTATGGTGACCCATGATTTATGGAACATAAACCCTTTTGCTATTACACACAAGGCTGGAGTAATCCTTAACCTTGCATATACTTTTTGTACATGTGGGAGTAAGTCTGTAGGATAAAGTCTTCACAATAGAATTGTTGGTCCTGAAGGTAAGTGCATTTCAAATTTTGATACTTATTAGTGGATAGATTTTTTAAAAAATGCTTACTTAATACACCTGTAATGGAAACAGAGACGTTATTTTAATTTGCAAATCAAATATTTTAGCTATGGTGGCATCATAAAATAGGACTCCTGATAAATTTTATTGTGATGTAGTAAATAACTTTTCCCAGAAGTTTGTTAAAGAATGTTTCTGTTTTAAATAAATGAACTTAATATTTCTGGAACATTGAGGATGGAAATCAGCAATATTGAGAAACAATTATAACTTTCAGCACAGATGCTATATATTGTTAAAATCATGACATCAAAGAGGAAAACATAATTTTAATACTATATTGGGGAAGTATTTATATGTTTTTTAAACAGTGGGAATAAATATCTTTAATTTTGTTTATATAGGGCACAGACCATCATGAAGGCTCGATTAAAAGGAGCACAGACAGGTCGAAACCTCCTGAAGAAAAAATCTGATGCCTTAACTCTTCGATTTCGACAGATCCTAAAGAAGATAATAGAGGTAGAATGAACTGTGCTTAGAACAGTTATTTATTTTAGAGATCTCTAAGAAAATCCAGTGTGGCTCTTGGCATTTTAATTTTAATTTTAATTTTTTTCTTTCAAAAGTAAAAATATCATTACGACAATAACAAGTTTCAGATCATTTAATATAAAATATGGACTCATTAGTCTTGCCAGCAAAGCCCCACTTGATCTGATCTGGCCCCTGCCTGCATCTCTGACCTCGTTTGGAGCCTACCATTTTCCTCCAGGACTTTTCATTAGCTGTTTCTTCTGCTTGAAATGTTCTTTCCCAGGACTTAAGATTTGCTCCTCTGGTCATTCTGGTCTCTTCAGAGAGGCCATCCCTGATCACCCAATCTGAAGTGACCATGTATTTACTTCTGTTGCATTTCCTTATTATTATTATTTTTTAAAGATATATGTATTTGAGAGAGATTAAGAGAGCAGGAGCACAGGGAGGGGCAGAGGAAGAGGGAAAGAGAATCTTAAGCAGATTCCATGCTTAGCAGAGCCAGATGTGGGGATCGATCTCACAAGGGCGAGATCATGACCTGAGGTGAAACCAAGAGTCAGATGCCTAACTAGTTGCACCACTCAGACACCCCACATTTCCTTATTTTTGTCATAGCATGTACTACTGCATATTTCCTTGTTTGGTGGTTGCCCCCACTAGAGAGTGTTAGCTCCATGAAAGCAGGGACTTAATCCTTTCAGTACTTATTTTCTGTGTCTAGAACAGTGCTGGCACATAGTGTGTTTCAATTTAGTACTTTTTAGGTAAATGAAAGGCAAATACGGAAATACATTTTAAAAATGAAGATTATTCTCCCTCCCCAACTCCCTTCTCATTTCTCAGAGGAGTTCTCTGTGACACTTTGATTTATAGTCTGTCTGTCTTTCATCGTGGATGTTTTTAGTAACAAGCAACTGTTAAGCATTATATAATTCAATTCCTGCCTGTTTCCCCTGGCCGATTATGGACAGCTTTCTACATCAATACATAGATCTGCCTTTTTCTTTATAACAGCTGCATGGAACTCCATCGAACAGATAATGGAATTTAACTATTTTTCTGTTGATGAATGTTTTACTGTTTAGTGGGGGAGGGTACTTTTCAATCCTTACGTGCATGTGTGAGAGTACTGATAACACGGACTCCATCGTTGGCCCTCCATCTTGTTCATGGCTACACTGTGACCTTCCTTCAGGCTGAGTATTGTGGGCTCCATGGAGGTTGATGTTGGCCCTGACCAGCGTGCAGGAAGGCTGACTATCCTGTGACCACCCCACTGGCCCCCTCGCTCTGGGAAAGCAGGCGATTATGGGCCCTGCTTGGCGGAGAGTAGCCACTTGGGTGATGTGTCCGCCCTGTCTGTGAGTTATCCTGAGTAGAAAGGTAAAAACGGTCCTGCAGGCTCGAAGTTTTTTTTGGTCTCAGGCTGCCTTCTGAGTCCGGAGGATACTTGACTGTCCCTCCTCCACCTTCTAAGCACTGGCAAGCCAGCTGGATAGGGTGAAGTGAGTGGTGGGAGTGGGGGGGAAGCCTGAGCTGGCAGGGCCAGGCTTGTGAGTGTGGAGGTGGGGGGGTGCCCCAGGGGCTGTTAGAAGGTCTGTCTGAGAGGAGGGGGGTAGCCACTGACCAGCTGCATGGCTGCATGGCTGGGCCCGTGGTCTGCATGGGGAAGTACGGTGGAGGGGAGTCAGGAGTACGGTGGGAATTGGAGCAGCAGGGATGATCGCTTTGGCTTAGGAAGGGGTGTGTGTGAGCCGCCTGTTGCTCCCCTCGGGATGTTGTGTCTGGAGGAATCCAACAGCAGGAAGGTCCCTTGGGAATTAGGGCCTTGGGAGGCTGGAGAAGGGTGAGTACTGAAGGGAGAACTGTGGTGTCTCAGGAGAGTAGAGACTCAGAGACGTGGGATCCCTGGGGTAGTGACTGATGAGGAGGAGGTGGTGGTAGAGGAGGAGGGGGATTTAAAGGCACGTCCTCTGGTTGGAACACAGCTCCAGGCCGCTTGCTTGCCTGAGGATGAGGGAGGAAAAATTCCACCAGTCAGGAAACGACAGTGAGGGAGTGAGTACTCTGCCCCAGACTTAGTGGAGTAGGCCAGCCGCTTTAGGCAGAGTGACCGATGGGGGTGCAGGGTGGCGGTGGCAGCTTGGGTGTTGCAGTGGTGGGATGCTAGGGAAGAGGGTATTCATTGGAGGTTTGGGATGTCCAAAATGGCCCCAGTCAGCGCTCAGCCTGCCTTGCAACAAGTACATGCCACAGTCTTGGGACAGAATCTTAGGCACTTGGTTAACTTGATTGGATAAATTCTAGAATTAAGATAACTTGGCCTAAAAGGGGCCTGTTCCTTGATCTCCATGGAAGAACTACTAGAAATTCTGTGTGAACTGGGAGTAAAACCTGCCATTTACACTTAGCATTTTAGTGATCTAGACAAAGAATTGCTTTCCTCTGGTATGGAAGACCTTATATTATAGTCAGCTCCAGGGGCATGGTGTGGGACTTAATATCTGTCCTTGCCCCTGTGGTTAATTGGCCCATTGCTAAGGTAGCTATTATGGTGGTTGACTTAAGTGAGACCAAAAGAATCTGTCTTAGGGAAAATAGGTTGAAAAATGGGAAAAGCAAAGGATCCTCCCAATGATAAAATGGCAGAAAAGGGGCCCATCAAGGTCTCTCAAACAATAATGGCAAGTCCTAATTTTATACAGGATCCTGGAAGAAAATACAGACAACCCAGTTTGGTCTTGCTAAGCATTATGGAAGGCTTGAGAAAACCAGGTGTTTCCCCGGAGCTCCTCTGCTAACAGAGGAATTTCAGCGGTGTATACCCTATACCTCTAGAGACTAGGGGTTAGGCAACAGTAGGGGGGGAACTAGAGGCCTCATGTGGAATTAACCATTTATTGCTCTTGCATTAACAGACTGTACTAATAGACACTGGAGCTGAATGCACACTTTTGGAAACCCTGGAAATTCTGGGGAGAAATAAAGACTGTTAATGTTTATGTGGGACAAATCATCAAGGTCCTACAAATTAGTCTGTACCTACAGATTGGCAGGCTTCTTCCCCATTGTTTTCTAGTGTGGCTTTCCCTCACTTGAGTATCTTGGGCACAGCTCCACAGGTGGATTCAGGTTGAGTAGTAAAACCCGTTGTGGGTCATGCAAAATGGGAACCTATAGGGCTGCCAGTTTCTGAAGAGTCATAAACATAAAACAGTATGAGCTACTAGGGGAGGATGACGAGGTTACTACCACCATTGAAAAATTAGAAAAGGTGGAGGTCATCAGGCCTGCTCAGTGCCCATTCAATAGTTGGTTTGGCCTATAGTGAAATCTAATGGGACCTGGCAAATAACAGTAGATTATAGGGAACTCAGTAAAATTACTCCCGTCTGTCCATGTTCTTGTGGTGCCTAATATAGCCTTATTGTTAGAGAAAATCATGACATCTGTTAAGACTTATGTACCAGATTTGTCTAATGCCTTTCCACTATTCATTAGGACATGAATTCTATGATTAATTTCCTTTCCTGTGGAACAGGAGACAATGGACTTTCCAAGGGTACCTCAGTAGTCCCACAGTTTGTCACAGCTTGGTAGGCAGAGATTTGGAAAAATGGGTATTGTCAGAGATGACGGTGCTTTATCATTATGTAGGTGTGATGTTAAACTGTGATTTACCCTCCCTGTCTCATTGGTTCTCAGGTCTCAAATGTGTAAGAACTGAAATGTCATACACATTTTAGGTGTAAAGTCTCTGAGAGGTAAATAAAGACAGGAATATAAGGGCTGGGTTAATCGGTAAAGTTCCTGGGCATCATCTGGTCAAGTAAGACAAGTGATGCCAGAGACGGTCATTGGTAAAATGCAAGCCTTCCCAATCCCTAAAACTGTAGAGGAATTACAGGCTTTTGGTTTATTGGGTTACTGGAGACTTTCTGTTCCCTTTCTGGCAATAGAGCAGATATTAAGACCTTTTAAATGCCTTAGTTAGGAGGGTAAGCTGATGGGATTGGGGTGCAAACCAATAAGAAGCTATCTTTTTTTAAAGATTTAATTTATTAGAGAGAGCACACACGCTCGAATGGGGAGAAGAGGAAGAGCAGAGAGAGATGGAGGAGGAGGCTCCCTACTGAGCCGCAAGCCTGAGGTCACGGGGCTCCATCCCAGGACCCTGAGATCACAATCTGAGCCAAAGGCTGATGCTTAACTGACTGAGGTGTCCCAATAAGAGGCAGTCTTCAGGGCAAAAAAGGCAGTAAAACAAGTACAGACCTTGGGGGTATTAATGCCAGGTGGAAGTTGTGAATTAGATGTAAATTCATATCTAGAAGGGTTTGGCTGGGGCTTGTGAGATTGACGAAATGGGAAATGGATCTCGTTAGGATTGGTCTCATTTTTGGAGGAGAACAGAAACCAGGTGTAGTCCCATTGAAGAACAACTATTAGCTATATATCTTGCACTTCAGCAGACAGAGGGACTGAGTGCTGATTTGCCTATGATGGTATGAACCTCTCTGCCAGTGGGAGAATGAATTAAGGACTTGTTCAGCAAATATAAGTGTGCCTATGTTCAGGTAAGCACCTTACAGAAATAACATGCTTACCTGCAGTGCAGGAGTGCTTTTAATACCAACCTGCTGTCTCATGAGCTACACTCATTTCAAGGGCCGGTCACCTAAGTCAGCGCAGTCACCTAAGTCCGCCCAACCCAACCCAGCCCAACTTCCAGAAGTTGCTGACATTATTCCCCCCCCCCCCCCCCCCGCAAGAGGAAAGGGAAGCCTCCCCTCTGGTGGATGCATAGTATACTGGTGGCAGTTGCAGGGGAAACCTGCCTGTATGGCATTCCTCTGCCATCTGGCTGGATTCTGATATACTTTGAAGAAAGAACTAAACAAAGTAGTCAGTGGGCAAAATTGAGAGTGGTATGGATTGTGTTGACATATGAGCCAGTGCTCATTGATTTGGCTGATTTGGCT